TCACATCATGCAATATATAAAGAATAACTATTATCAGACTGCATCAATCATTTCTATCATCAACTCCTTCTTGAACAACTACAACTATGGTCTCAGAGAAAACGAAACGGATGAACTCAGCAACAAGAGGCATGCTGGTATATCATGCGCTGCTCATGACCCTGTAGCATCTTCTGATGCCGGAGGTCTTGCTAACTCCTCTGCTCATGCTCCTCGTGTCCGCTCCAAATGTAACAACTGCGTTGTTGTGAATGTCCACCGAGAATCTTCAATCCTCGATGGGATCCTACATACTACTACAAAAAAGATAACAAAGCTTTGTCCTGAGCATCAACTCCCGGACTCCATTCCACCAACACCTCAAGACACGCTAGATAGAGACAACGCTGAACCCTTCACTAGCCCAACTACACAGCAAGGATCACAAACATCCTTGCTCCCATCACCTCCAGCCGATGTATTGCAGCCTAGTCCTCCAGTTGGATCACAAACATCCTTGCTCCCATCACCTCTAGCCGATGTATTGCAGCATAGTCCTCCAGTTGCAGTTGATCACCCTCCTTCTACAGTAATATGATCTGGTAGACACTAGACAGGTGTCCGCGGACAGTGGTCGGGCTATCTCGATACTGCCGGAACGCGTTAGTTAATTTCTAGAAGCTAGGCCATTAAAAATAAAACTTTATAATTTGCCCTGATGCCGCCTCCTTTACTCTTAACATTTACAATTATAATTGTTAATAGCAAACTTAAGTATTTAGATCTGCTGGCGAAGTTATTCTTTATTTTATAATTTTTGACTTTTTTAACTTTCTGTTTTTAAGCGAATCTAAATAAGTAGTGTTCCGGTGTACCTATAAATTCAGTTCGAATCTACAATCTCATGACAACTAATCTACAACTATGCAAGTATTCTAAACGCATCTAATAGAACCTCCCTCTCTCTCTCTCTCTCTCTCTCTCTCTCTCTCTCTCTCTCTCTCTCTCTCTCTCTCTCTCTCTCTCTCTCTCTCTCTCTCTCTCTCTCTCTCTCTCTCTCTCTCTCTCTCTCTCTCTCTCTCTCTCTCTCTCTCTCTCTCTCTCTCTCTCTCTCTCTCTCTCATCATGACAGCCTCGTATCACGTGATGACACGTGACCAGTCACTGTCTACCTTGCTCCTGTTTACTGTCTCCACCTACACTCACTGTCACATTACCTGCTTGACAAAACAACATGCAATACGTTTCTAATAGGACCCCCCGCGGAGGGAGGCAGTACACGTCAGTAGTCTGTATAACAGCCTCTTTCTCTGCTAGTAGTCCGTATAACAGCCTCTTTCTCTGCTAGTAGTCTGTATAACAGCCTCTTTCTCTGCTAGTAGTCTGTATAACAGCCTCTTTCTCTGCTAGTAGTCTGTATAACAGCCTCTTTCTCTGCTAGTAGTCCGTATAACAGCCTCTTTCTCTGCTAGTAGTCTGTATAACAGCCTCTTTCTCTGCTAGTAGTCCGTATAACAGCCTCTTTCTCTGCTAGTAGTCCGTATAACAGCCTCTTTCTCTGCTAGTAGTCTGTATAACAGCCTCTTTCTCTGCTAGTAGTCCGTATAACAGCCTCTTTCTCTGCTAGTAGTCTGTATAACAGCCTCTTTCTCTGCTAGTAGTCCGTATAACAGCCTCTTTCTCTGCTAGTAGTCCGTATAACAGCCTCTTTCTCTGCTAGTAGTCTGTATAACAGCCTCTTTCTCTGCTAGTAGTCTGTATAACAGCCTCTTTCTCTGCTAGTAGTCCGTATAACAGCCTCTTTCTCTGCTAGTAGTCTGTATAACAGCCTCTTTCTCTGCTAGTAGTCTGTATAACAGCCTCTTTCTCTGCTAGTAGTCTGTATAACAGCCTCTTTTTCTGCTAGTAGTCTGTATAACAGCCTCTTTCTCTGCTAGTAGTCCGTATAACAGCCTCTTTTCTGCTAGTAGTCTGTATAACAGCCTCTTTCTCTGCTAGTAGTCTGTATAACAGCCTCTTTCTCTGCTAGTAGTCCGTATAACAGCCTCTTTCTCTGCTAGTAGTCTGTATAACAGCCTCTTTCTCTGCTAGTAGTCTGTATAACAGCCTCTTTCTCTGCTAGTAGTCCGTATAACAGCCTCTTTCTCTGCTAGTAGTCCGTATAACAGCCTCTTTCTCTGCTAGTAGTCCGTATAACAGCCTCTTTCTCTGCTAGTAGTCCGTATAAACAGCCTCTTTCTCTGCTAGTAGTCCGTATAACAGCCTCTTTTTCTGCTAGTAGTCTGTATAACAGCCTCTTTCTCTGCTAGTAGTCTGTATAACAGCCTCTTTCTCTGCTAGTAGTCTGTATAACAGCCTCTTTTTCTGCTAGTAGTCTGTATAACAGCCTCTTTCTCTGCTAGTAGTCCGTATAACAGCCTCTTTCTCTGCTAGTAGTCTGTATAACAGCCTCCTTTCTCTGCTAGTAGTCTGTATAACAGCCTCTTTCTCTGCTAGTAGTCTGTATAACAGCCTCTTTCTCTGCTAGTAGTCCGTATAACAGCCTCTTTCTCTGCTAGTAGTCTGTATAACAGCCTCTTTCTCTGCTAGTAGTCCTGTATAACAGCCTCTTTCTCTGCTAGTAGTCTGTATAACAGCCTCTTTCTCTGCTAGTAGTCCGTATAACAGCCTCTTTCTCTGCTAGTAGTCTGTATAACAGCCTCTTTCTCTGCTAGTAGTCTGTATAACAGCCTCTTTCTCTGCTAGTAGTCTGTATAACAGCCTCTTTCTCTGCTAGTAGTCTGTATAACAGCCTCTTTCTCTGCTAGTAGTCTGTATAACAGCCTCTTTCTCTGCTAGTAGTCTGTATAACAGCCTCTTTCTCTGCTAGTAGTCTGTATAACAGCCTCTTTCTCTGCTAGTAGTCTGTATAACAGCCTCTTTCTCTGCTAGTAGTCTGTATAACAGCCTCTTTCTCTGCTAGTAGTCTGTATAACAGCCTCTTTCTCTGCTAGTAGTCCGTATAACAGCCTCTTTCTCTGCTAGTAGTCTGTATAACAGCCTCTTTCTCTGCTAGTAGTCCGTATAACAGCCTCTTTCTCTGCTAGTAGTCTGTATAACAGCCTCTTTCTCTGCTAGTAGTCCGTATAACAGCCTCTTTCTCTGCTAGTAGTCTGTTATAACAGCCTCTTTCTCTGCTAGTAGTCTGTATAACAGCCTCTTTCCTCTGCTAGTAGTCTGTATAACAGCCTCTTTCTCTGCTAGTAGTCTGTATAACAGCCTCTTTCTCTGCTAGTAGTCTGTATAACAGCCTCTTTCTCTGCTAGTAGTCCGTATAACAGCCTCTTTCTCTGCTAGTAGTCTGATATAACAGCCTCTTTCTCTGCTAGTAGTCCGTATAACAGCCTCTTTCTCTGCTAGTAGTCTGTATAACAGCCTCTTTCTCTGCTAGTAGTCTGTATAACAGCCTCTTTCTCTGCTAGTAGTCTGTATAACAGCCTCTTTCTCTGCTAGTAGTCTGTATAACAGCCTCTTTCTCTGCTAGTAGTCCGTATAACAGCCTCTTTCTCTGCTAGTAGTCTGTATAACAGCCTCTTTCTCTGCTAGTAGTCCGTATAACAGCCTCTTTCTCTGCTAGTAGTCTGTATAACAGCCTCTTTCTCTGCTAGTAGTCCGTATAACAGCCTCTTTCTCTGCTAGTAGTCTGTATAACAGCCTCTTTCTCTGCTAGTAGTCCGTATAACAGCCTCTTTCTCTGCTAGTAGTCTGTATAACAGCCTCTTTCTCTGCTAGTAGTCCGTATAACAGCCTCTTTCTCTGCTAGTAGTCTGTATAACAGCCTCTTTCTCTGCTAGTAGTCCGTATAACAGCCTCTTTCTCTGCTAGTAGTCTGTATAACAGCCTCTTTCTCTGCTAGTAGTCCGTATAACAGCCTCTTTCTCTGCTAGTAGTCTGTATAACAGCCTCTTTCTCTGCTAGTAGTCCGTATAACAGCCTCTTTCTCTGCTAGTAGTCTGTATAACAGCCTCTTTCTCTGCTAGTAGTCCGTATAACAGCCTCTTTCTCTGCTAGTAGTCTGTATAACAGCCTCTTTCTCTGCTAGTAGTCCGTATAACAGCCTCTTTCTCTGCTAGTAGTCTGTATAACAGCCTCTTTCTCTGCTAGTAGTCCTGTATAACAGCCTCTTTCTCTGCTAGTAGTCTGTATAACAGCCTCTTTCTCTGCTAGTAGTCCGTATAACAGCCTCTTTCTCTGCTAGTAGTCTGTATAACAGCCTCTTTCTCTGCTAGTAGTCGTATAACAGCCTCTTTCTCTGCTAGTAGTCCTGTATAACAGCCTCTTTCTCTGCTAGTAGTCCGTATAACAGCCTCTTTCTCTGCTAGTAGTCTGTATAACAGCCTCTTTCTCTGCTAGTAGTCTGTATAACAGCCTCTTTCTCTGCTAGTAGTCTGTATAACAGCCTCTTTCTCTGCTAGTAGTCTGTATAACAGCCTCTTTCTCTGCTAGTAGTCCGTATAACAGCCTCTTTCTCTGCTAGTAGTCTGTATAACAGCCTCTTTCTCTGCTAGTAGTCCGTATAACAGCCTCTTTCTCTGCTAGTAGTCTGTATAACAGCCTCTTTCTCTGCTAGTAGTCTGTATAACAGCCTCTTTCTCTGCTAGTAGTCTGTATAACAGCCTCTTTCTCTGCTAGTAGTCCGTATAACAGCCTCTTTCTCTGCTAGTAGTCTGTATAACAGCCTCTTTCTCTGCTAGTAGTCCGTATAACAGCCTCTTTCTCTGCTAGTAGTCCGTATAACAGCCTCTTTCTCTGCTAGTAGTCCGTATAACAGCCTCTTTCTCTGCTAGTAGTCTGTATAACAGCCTCTTTCTCTGCTAGTAGTCTGTATAACAGCCTCTTTCTCTGCTAGTAGTCCGTATAACAGCCTCTTTCTCTGCTAGTAGTCTGTATAACAGCCTCTTTCTCTGCTAGTAGTCTGTATAACAGCCTCTTTCTCTGCTAGTAGTCTGTATAACAGCCTCTTTCTCTGCTAGTAGTCCGTATAACAGCCTCTTTCTCTGCTAGTAGTCTGTATAACAGCCTCTTTCTCTGCTAGTAGTCGTATAACAGCCTCTTTTTCTGCTAGTAGTCTGTATAACAGCCTCTTTCTCTGCTAGTAGTCTGTATAACAGCCTCTTTCTCTGCTAGTAGTCCGTATAACAGCCTCTTTCTCTGCTAGTAGTCTGTATAACAGCCTCTTTTTCTGCTAGTAGTCTGTATAACAGCCTCTTTCTCTGCTAGTAGTCCGTATAACAGCCTCTTTCTCTGCTAGTAGTCTGTATAACAGCCTCTTTTTCTGCTAGTAGTCTGTATAACAGCCTCTTTTTCTGCTAGTAGTCGTATAACAGCCTCTTTCTCTGCTAGTAGTCTGTATAACAGCCTCTTTCTCTGCTAGTAGTCTGTATAACAGCCTCTTTTTCTGCTAGTAGTCTGTATAACAGCCTCTTTTTCTGCTAGTAGTCCGTATAACAGCCTCTTTCTCTGCTAGTAGTCTGTATAACAGCCTCTTTCTCTGCTAGTAGTCCGTATAACAGCCTCTTTCTCTGCTAGTAGTCTGTATAACAGCCTCTTTCTCTGCTAGTAGTCCGTATAACAGCCTCTTTCTCTGCTAGTAGTCTGTATAACAGCCTCTTTCTCTGCTAGTAGTCCGTATAACAGCCTCTTTCTCTGCTAGTAGTCTGTATAACAGCCTCTTTCTCTGCTAGTAGTCCGTATAACAGCCTCTTTCTCTGCTAGTAGTCTGTATAACAGCCTCTTTCTCTGCTAGTAGTCCGTATAACAGCCTCTTTCTCTGCTAGTAGTCTGTATAACACCCTCTTTCTCTGCTAGTAGTCCGTATAACAGCCTCTTTCTCTGCTAGTAGTCCGTATAACAGCCTCTTTCTCTGCTAGTAGTCCGTATAACAGCCTCTTTCTCTGCTAGTAGTCTGTATAACAGCCTCTTTCTCTGCTAGTAGTCCGTATAACAGCCTCTTTCTCTGCTAGTAGTCTGTATTTAACAGCCTTTTTCTCTCATCCTTTCTTTCTTTTGAGTTTTCTTGTAGTATTGTAGCTGTAACTCCTTTTAAAGAACATAGCAACTACACAACTATCAGCTTGGTAACGATAAGGTGGTATATGTAAACATGTGGTAAAACGCTGATATATGCAATAATATAATCATATGTTAACGTGCACTATGCTTGTTCTATTTAATGGTAAATCAAGATGAATATTATTTATTATTAAAAACCGTTGATAAGAATCGTAAATCTCGCTCAAGTGTGACACAAGTGATCACGTGACTCCTTGTTGTATTTGTCTCATGATCTGTGTTAACTGTTAAAACCCACCATGTGAGCTATGTCGTAATCTTTATGTTCGGTTTATTAAGCTCTCTTGAAGTGAAATGTTAAAGATGATTATTTATTTGAGTTTGATATTTTACAACTTGTCGTCTCTTGTTTTCTTCTTTTTCTGATAGAAATTCAAGATTGCTATTATTTGTGGAACAACTATCTAGTATCTATGAATCTAATTAATTCATGGTATAATTAAATTGTTTTTGCCAGTTAAACTAACAGTAACCGATTATTTTAGTTATGATTGTTAGTGGTGCTGGAAGAAGATCACTGGACGCGTGCCAAATATCACCCTCTAAAAACGAGATTGTGTTGGATCCTAACCTTAACGCGGTTAGTGCAATCCCTCTTTATTATTTACAGATTATCATATCATATCATATCATATCATATCATATCATATCATATCATATCATATCATATCATATCATATCATATCATATCATATCATATCATATCATGATCATAATATGACATATCATATCATATCATATCATATCATATCATATCATATCATATCATATCATATCATATCATATCATATCATATCATATCATATCATATCATATCATATCATATCATATCATATCATATTATTATATTATGATATAACCAGGATTCTGAAAGTGACCCATCTTTCTAGCCCCTTATATAAGTGGAGTCAGTAGTTGCCTATTGGTATTAGTGTTACTGTGTACTGTATAGTCATGTTATCTTTAACCTAATCAGATTAAAGTATTAATTATATCCTGCTTAATTAATTTTATCCTGCTTAATTAATTATATTATGCTTACACCTTACAGAGCGAGGTAGAGATTTGTAGAAGAAAAACTAACTCTACCCCTTCACAACCCTCTTCACCTGCCCCAAAACCTTCCGGTTAGTCACGCGGTGAAATGTGTGACGTCACGTGGTGAGATGTGTGACGTCACGTGAGGGAGTGTGTGACGTCACGTGGTGAAGTGTGTGACGTCACGTTTTTTAAAGTGTACTGTTTTTTAAAGTGTACTGTTAAGTTAATTAATTTTGAGGACTGGTTACCAACAATTGTATGCAAATTTTAATTATTTAAATTGTGCATTTAGTTAATAATAACAGGTTTGAAACGAGCTACACAATGGTCAGAGGACGTTGAGGAATGTTACAGGTTCCAGACAGCCGGCTACAGAGACATTATGGAGTACTGTCACGTGCAAGGTTTGTTAACGTTAACCCCCCCTCTCCCCCCCCCCCCACCTCCCCCCCTTAATCACGTGACAGTTGCAGCTGTCTTCTTCTAAGTTCTAACTGATGTTTGTTTAGTTTCTCTTTCCTTTACAGGCTGTCACTTTTATAGATTATAGAGATTTTTATTCTCTATTTTTATTCTCTATTTTTATTCTCTATTTTTATTCTCTATTTTTATTCTCTATTTTTATTCTCTATTTTTATTCTCTATTTTTATTCTCTATTTTTATTCTCTATTTTTATTCTCTATTTTTATTCTCTATTTTTATTCTCTATTTTTATTCTCTATTTTTATTCTCTATTTTTATTCTCTATTTTTATTCTCTATTTTTATTCTCTATTTTTATTCTCTATTTTTATTTGGTAATTTTACCCCTTATTTGAGGACCTCAAGAAAGGAAGTTAGAATTGCGTTATCGAAGACAAGGAGCCTTCTCTCACTAAATTCCGTTATGTATCGAATATTTTATAAAGTAGTTAAGTGCTGACCTCAAAATTCTTAATGACTTTTTAAATGTTTCTATGACCTTTATAGTAAAATCAAATAAAAGTCTGTTATGATTCGCGAGTCAACCTTAACCTTTGACCGACAAACTGGTGCCGTATAATAATATTAATTATTTCTAGCTTATTTTAAGACTGATTCCGCTCTTTTAACCATTTATCGTAAGTAACTCATTTGCTCCTCCTTTTGCTAACAATCTTGTGATCTCACATAATGTTTCCTCTCTGTTACGTCCCCCTCCTCGCTGCCACCCTAGCCACTGTGCGAGGGCAGGAGTGGACCGGACCAGATGTGTTTACCAGGTGGACTGGGGACCCTTATGAAGGATGGACCACTGGCCTCACTAATCAGTGGAGGGAGGTAATATCAACTACTAGCCCCCTTCTCACGTCTACATATCTCATGACAGGAACTTGGCTGGAGATTAATGGTTACAGGTTAGGTTCTGTGATGGAGAACGGAGCTTACCCAGTAGAAGCTAGAACGTGGTGGGACGCAGAGCAGTACGGGCCAGTGTGTGACGACAGGTTTGATGACAGAACTGCTCACGTGCTGTGTTGGATACACGGACACACGCGCGGACACAGAACTTCTTATGAGACAGAGTTGGAGTTTATCAGCACTTCCTTAACCTGCTGGAACCACGTCATGGTATTTGGGCCTGGAATCACTTATGATGGGGAAGAATTCTTCAGAAACAGAGATTACGAGACACCACACGTGTCTTACTTTGGTCAGTTCTCCGATAACTGCGCGGCGCAAGAGTACAAACTGGAAGAATTCGGCGATAAAGTGTTGCCCTGCACTAAAGATCAAGCCGCTGCAGTATTCTGCTACCCGACCAGGGAGGAGACAAGATACGAGGTGCACAGCGTTGAAACAAAAACAGTCTCCAAGAAGAAGTTCACAGTCACAGTTGGCCTCAAATTTGTAAAAGTCGGGGAAAAAATCGACCTCCAGGGAAAAGATGTCTTGAAAGATCCTGATCACAAGATAGGAATTGATTTTGGGGCTGTGGCATGTGGAAAAGATCAAAAAGTTGACCTGACTGTGTCAAAGTCAAATAGCGCGCTATTCGAGCTAAAGGGAAAGTTTGGGAAGCGTTGCAAAGAGGATGTGGATTTGCTACATATGGGGGAAATATTCTGGACTGTTAAAATGAAATCCTGAGGTTCTCTAAAATTTGTTATCTTTTTATCGAAAATAGTGCCAGATAATGCATGCAAAATAACTCTATACTATGGACATAAAAAACAATGAATTTGAACTTAGAAATGTTGATCTATCTTGTATGGTATATTATAATTAATATTATATAACTATAATTGGCTGTATAATTTATTGTCTCAAACATTGCACAATTTATTTGCTAAGATTTATAACAAATTAACCCCATTTATCTGTACCATTTATTAAAGGTATTCTCTTTAATCTCTGTCATATAATATTTTCATTTGCTAAAGCTTACACAAAAATAATATGCGAAATGATAGATGAATCCCAAAGTTGAAAGTATATTTTTAACCGTTAGAAAACCCTTTATTGCAGGTTTTTCTGAAAACGAAGTGAAGCGGTGGCCTCATAACGGTTATATCAAGATGTTACTTTCCCGCAAGGGAGGGTATATCTATTTCGACAAAGCGAGGGAGTGTCAAGACAAGGACCTCCACAAGTGCAAACTGTTTAACTACAACGCTGAGAATCAGTAGAGAAAATTAGCGCTGCTGGTATGATTAAAGTTACAGACTCACTCTATAGCTCTATATTCTCGCGCAATTTTCCTATACTCCCAGAATGGTTTTGAATTGGTTAAGCTGTAACATGCAATAAGATAAAAAATCTTCAATGTTCTTTTGTTCATGAGTTTCCGAATTGTATAAGAGTCAATTTCAGTTAAATATTCAGAATCTAGGAAGAGATTCCTTTTTTCCTTTAAAGCAAAGAATTAGAAATTTTACTACACTTTCGAGTTAAACCACGGAATTACATTTGATTTGTATCAGAAATAGGATCGATTGTTAATTATGTACAGATATTGTATAAAACTAAAAGAGTAATCTCTATAAATATAATGTATAATGATGTATGATATTATTAAAGTGTAAAATCTATAATAATATTAAGACCCAAAAGAAAAAAGTTCGTTTTATTTATGCTTTATTAATTAAATTGGATTTTAGTGTACATCTTAAGTATTATAATTATATATGTAATAAGCGCCATGAAAAACACTCGATCTTCGCGATTTTTCTAAACAGTTGCGCGAAAAACTATCTCGATCACGTGATATGACCGTATAATGTATAAGGAAGTTGATATAATTTCTCTCCAGGGTTAGCAGGTTAGGGTTTCAGATCAGATTATCAATTATAGGGCTGGGTTGTAGTTTAGGTTTCAAATAGTCATTCTGCATTCAGGCCAGGACTTAATTGACGATGTCAATTCATGGCAGCTCGGCGCGGCACAGTAGCGCATGTCGCTGTGAGAAGCCTTATTAAGTGCGCGGCGCGGCACAGTAACGCATCGCGCTACAAGGCCAGGACCACTGTGAGAATGAAGAACGTGTTAAGAAATTCACGTGACAGTCGAGTGTAGACTGTAGAGTGATGATTAATTTGTAGGTTTATAACCTACCAGGACGCGCGCCGAGTTGGACTCGTCGACGGTCTTTGTAGCGCGATGCACTACTGGGTCGCGCCGCGCATCAAATAATTCTTCTCGCAATCGGTAGATCGGCGAGATGCACCACTGTGCCTCCCCGAGCTGCGAAGGATTGACATCGTGAATCAACGACAGTCTTTGAAACAAATATCTACGAATTCAGCGCGCGTCTTGGTAGGTTATAAACCTATTGTCATACGTTGTATGACCCGCCGCGCACGAAGTGCGCGGCTCCCCCTGTATCGTCAGGACGATAGTGAAACACCATAGTGAAACGACCGTGGTGAAACGACCATAGTGAAACGACCATAGTGAAACGACCGTGGGGGTCGCAACGTGATACAATAAACCTACGAGTTAAAAGGACGAAAAATCGATAATTTCTATAAGGACATGATATAATATAATAGCCTGGGCCGGGTCCCAGGTATCAAGCGCACTTTAACCTGGTTGACCATTGTTAATGGACTGGCCCGGCGCGTGCTACTTCGAAGAAATTTAGACGCGAGTAACATCCGTCAATAACCTGGTAAATAGTAATATTTTTACATGATATTTGTTACCTGCTTTTAATCCTATTGAAAATATTGTTCCTGGCCAAATTTATCGCTGTTCAAAAGTTAGTGCAGCGCTCGCGCCTCAAAAGCGCTCCCACAAAGCTAAAAGCGAATTAGTAGAACGTGCACGATAAAAATAAACTTGCTCGGATTTTAAAAAATTGTTGTACCATACCACTGTTTTCTAAAGAAGGTGAGCTTTTTGACAAAACCTTTTTGGAATAATGAATAATGAATGAATTTTGCCTACCCAGAAAACCTTACCGGCTAACATGTTGCAAAAAACTTCCGGTTTTTTGCAACATGTTTTGTGTTGATCGTTTTGTAAAAGTAACGTTTCTCCCCAGGGGGGAATTTAAAACAACGTAGATTTTGAAGAGCCCAGCAGACCTTACTGGCTAGCGATATTACTACAGGGTGATCGCCTTTTCACAGCTTGTTGAGCTCCGCGCGCGCTCGTGAGTTCATTGCATTTGCACGCTTCAAACATTCCAAAGATGCAATTGTACCGCGTACCACGTGATACGATTCAGCCAATCAGAGAACAACAATCTGCAAAGTTAAAGCTGTGCAGTTTTATATGACCTAAAATATGACTTTTCGCGATAATTCAAAATCTACGTTGTTTTTAATTTCCCCCCTGGGGGGAAACGTTATTTTTACAAGGCGAACATTTTATTGAAAACCAGACGTTTCTATCTCTTTTACTTTCAAAGTTAGGCTCCAGCCAGTAAGGTTTCCTGGGAGTTCGAGTTATCTTCAAATCTCCAGAAAAGTGTCATTTTGGGCCGATCAAAAGTTTGCAACTTTAACTTTGCAGATTTCTGTACTTTGATTGGCTGAATTGTGTCATGTGCTAGCTGCTCAACATTGGAATGCGCCACGCGTGCAACTCATGCTAAATTGTAAATGATTAATGTCGCGCGCCGTCTGTTAAAATTAAACCACTTCTACCCAGGAAAACCTTACCGTTAGGGGCCTAACTTCGGAAGTAAAAGAGATAGAAACGTTTGGTTTTCAACGAAATGTCCGTCTCGTAAAACTAAAGTAAGCTCCCCAGGAGCCAAATTGAAAACAATGTAGATTTTGAATTATCGCGAAAAGTCATATTTTAGGCCTTATAAAACTGCGAAGCTTTAACTTTGCGGATTCTTGTTCTCTGATTGGCTGAATCGTATTACGTGGTACGTGGTACAATTGCATTCTTGGAATAATTGAAGCGTGGAAATGCAATGAACTAACGAGCGCGCGCGCGCGGAGTTCAACAAGCTGTGAAAAGGCGATGATCACCCTGTAGTAATATCGCTAGCCGGTAAGATCTGCTGGGAAGGTCTGCTGGGTATGAGATAGCCGAGAAGCTGCAAAGGGGGGGGGGGGGAGGGGGGTTGATGGCGAGTTATGCTTTGTCAAAGTGGATGCTTTTTGTCATACGTTGTATGACCCGCCGCGCACGAAGTGCGCGGCCCCCCCTGTATCGTGGGTGTCACGGCTTTTACTAATTCGCTCGCCCAAAAATTTCACGTGACTTTGGTTTTTATGGTTTTGCAGCCGTACAAAACGGTTTTACATAAATCCTAATCCCAACCCTAACCCTAACCATAACCCCGAAGCTAACCATAACCCTTACCACAACCCTAACCCTAACCCGGGCCCTATACTAAACAATCGAATTCGTATTTTACTAGCCTGTCACGTGACCAAAACGGTTTTTTGCCCATAACTCTCCAGGAAAGCATTTTAACCCTACGTCATGGGGGGTGATTCGGAATCAGCGTCCAAAAATACACCGATCTGGATCACTTTCATGCCCAAAAGGCCTTTTCACAAAAATTTTCTTAAAATTTGGGCGAGCGATTTAGTAGAAGCGGGGTGTCACCGTGGGTGTCACAACGTGATACAAGATGCTTTTAAAAATGAAATCGAAAGTCTTTAAACTGCGCGTTGTATTGGTTTTCGAGTCGCATAACTTGTGACGAAATACCCAATTAAAGCTAGTACAAGCCAAACACAAAGATATCTCGTGTACAGATCATATGCACTTTGCACTTGTTGCCTCCGGTCGCTAGACTATGGTCGCAATAATTGAGCTTTAAGTGACATTAAGTGACATTAAGTGACATTAAGTGACATTAAGTGACATTAAGTGACATTAAGTGACATTAAGTGACATTAAGTGACATTAAGTGACATTAAGTGACATTAAGTGACATTAAGTGAGATTAAGTGACATTAAGTGACATTAAATGACATTAAGTGACATTAAGTGACATTAAGTGACATTAAGTGACATTAAGTGACATTAAGTGACATTAAGTGACATTAAGTGACATTAAGTGACATTAAGTGACATGAAGTGACATTAATTGACATTAAGTGACATTAAGTGACATTAAGTGACCGGTGAGCCAAACTCCTTGTCAAATTATGTTTTGAATTATACGACCAATCATAAGGTAACAAGTGTAAGCTGTATTTTAACGGCTAACTTTAGTTCACAGTTCATATATCTAAGTCATCTAAGTTTGGAAGAATAATACGGCTACTTTTGTGATTCTTTGACATACGTTGCATGCCACTTTTCGCGCGCGACCAAAATACCTTGCTACGCGTCAACTGAGCCCAGTTTTGGCCGAATTTCTGACCCGCAACCAATTGGTTGCGGGTCAGAAATTCGGCCAAAACTGTAAAATTTCGGCCCTGGAAGTTTCAGCTTCAAAAACTGAAAATGGGACAGAGTATGGGACAGTATGATTTTCCAATTTTTTTCGAGATTTTGACTTCCAGTACCCCAGTTTGGTTTCATACCATCATCAATTAACTGACTAATTGGTTTGTGGGCAAAAATTTCATCCAATCTGTCAAATGTGCGTTCAGAAATTTTCACATCTGAAAATGGGACAGAGTTTTGAAAATACAACTTTTCGTTTTCTTAAGATTTCTGCTGTGAGCTTCCTCCGACCCGAATCAAACTTCCAGCACCTCAATCGTGTCATTTGGCATCTATAAATGACTGACTAATTGGTTGCGGTTCAGAAATTCGGCCAAAACTGTAAAATTTCGGCCCTGGAAGTTTCAGCTTCAAAAACTGAAAATGGGACAGAGTATGGGACAGTATGATTTTCAAATTTTTTTCGAGATTTTGACTTCCAGTACCCCAATTTGGTTTCATACCATCATCAATTAACTGACTAATTGGTTTGTGGTTAAAAATTTCATCCAATCTGTCAAATGTGCGTTCAGAAATTTTTACATCTGAAAATGGGACAGAGTTTTGAAAATACAAATTTTCGTTTTCTTAAGATTTCTGCTGTGAGCTTCCTCCGACCCGAATCAAACTTCCAGCACCTCAATCGTGTCATTTGGCATCTATAAATGACTGACTAATTGGTTGCGGGTCAGAAATTCGGCCAAAACTGTAAAATTTCGGCCCTGGAAGTTTCAGCTTCAAAAACTGAAAATGGGACAGAGTATGGGACAGTATGATTTTCCAATTTTTTTCGAGATTTTGACTTCCAGTACCCCAGTTTGGTTTCATACCATCATCAATTAACTGACTAATTGGTTTGTGGTTAAAAATTTCATCCAATCTGTCAAATGTGCGTTCAGAAATTTTTACATCTGAAAATGGGACAGAGTTTTGAAAATACAAATTTTCGTTTTCTTAAGATTTCTGCTGTGAGCTTCCTCCGACACGAATCAAACTTCCAGCACCTCAATCGTGTCATTTGGCATCTATAAATGACTGACTAATTGGTTGCGGGTCAGAAATT